GCCCACTGCCCATGCTCAGTCTTGCCCATTCAAAATCAGCCTTCTCTTACCTGCGGGTAACACGTACGGCCCCGTGAAAGTTATTCACGGGTAAGTTAGTATCTCGGGAACCACGGAGTCCAGGAGGCTGAAATTTTGGGGTACTGACCCCCTGCCCACCCTCAACCTTGCCCATTCAAATTCAGCCTCCCCTTACCCGCGGGTAATGCGTACAGCCCCGTGAAATTTTTTCACGGGTAAGTCACGGGTAAGTTAATATCTCGGGAATCTCGGAGTCTAGGAGGCTGAAGTTTTACGACAATGACTCCCTGTCCACCCTCAACCTTGCCCAATCAAATTCAGCCTTCCCTTACCCGCAGGTAACACGTACGGCCCCGTGAAAGTTATCCACGGGTAAGTTAATATCTCGGGAACCACGGAGTCTAGGAGACTGAAGTTTTAGGGTAATGACCCCCTACCCACCCTTAGTCTTGCTCATTCAAATTCAGCCTTCCCTTACCCGCGGTTAACACGTACGGCTCCGTGAAAGTTATTCAAGGGTAAGTTAATATCTCGGGAACCACGGAGTCTAGGAGGCTGAAGGAATAATGACCCCCTGCCCACGCTCAACCTTGCCCATTCAAATTCAGTTTTCTCGCACTCTCGGGTACCACCTACAGCCTCGTGAAAATTTTGGCGGATAAACTATTAACTTGGGAATCACGGAAAGATATTCATCCTTCAAGGTTTCGAATTCAGCTTTCATACGAGTGCGTGAAATTTTTAACTGTTTTCCAATGTTTGAACTATTTTTGCATAGACTAAAGAACAAAGCACTGGTGCATGAATAACCATTTTTCAATGTTTGAACGATTTTTGCGTAGACTAAAGTACAAAGCAGTGAAAATCATTAACAGGCAGTCCAATGTTTGTACTATTTTTGCATAGACTAAAGTACAAAGCAGTGAAAATCATTAACAGGCAATCGTAACTATTTTTGCATAGACTAAAGTACGAAGCAGTGAAAATCATTAACAGGCAATCAATCGTTCGATGGGCTGAATTGCACAAAACGCATGATCGCACCGGCTAGTCTGGTGCGCGTTGCCCTTATTTATTTTGCGCTGTAACAGCGGTGCAAAACATCGTGACCTGCCTGTATGTGTGTGTATTCGCACTTTCTGTCACCCATTTTTAACTCAAGAATTAGAGAAGATAGGAAACTGAATCTTTGAGAGCATATGCCCATCCCATGCGCGACCTACCCGTTTTAATATTATTATTTGAGCACGCCTGGGGGTCTCATGCATAGATGCCTAAGATGTGTAAATTGTTTGGAGAAAAAGATCCCGAGAGCCAAACAAGAGAGAGCTGAAATTTTACAAGGATATCCTACGTTCTTTTGTGAGTCAAAAAATTTAAATTTAACTTTAGCGCTTGTATACATATCGTTTATGCATACATCTCATACATCTCGGACACGTCAAATTTGAAATTTTGACGGTCGTTGGCGAAACTTCAATTCAGAAATTAAGTTAATTAGGAGGTTTTAGTCTCACCAGAATATTTGTCTTCCACAAATAGGCACATTAGCGTAAAATGAGTTTTGATATATGCTTCCGCCACAAATCCCGATACTTTAAAAATTTCAAATAACAAAAAGCGATTACGCCAACCAGACAGGCTGTGAAGCTGAAACTTTTCGACATTATTCTACGCCAGTGTGCGACCTAAGCCAATGTTCGAGCTTTAAAGCATATGCCTCACGTGAGTGCTAGGTCTTGCATATGCCTCACATGAATGCTTAATTCTGGACACTGTCGCACCAAAATAATCCAGTAACTAGAATAAACAGGAAACGGTATTTTCCTAAGGGGTTTTGCTGTTCAAGTACGGACCGGCAAGCTTAAGATGAGCTTCTGCCTATGAACGAGCACTGCATAGAGGCGCAAGGAATAATTTGCAGCACAGCAGTTACACCTCGGTAATACGGGCGATCGCTCTACAGGATGGAAAAATGCAAAAACGAATGATAGCATCCGCAACCCCGGTGCGTAGCTACCGGGGTTTATTACTTCCCCTCTCACTTACAAACAGCCCCCAAACTGAAATGCGATCTACATCAAATCTAGTCTTAGGTCTAAGCCACTTTTAGTTATGTGCCTTGCCGCCAAAATCTCTGTCTACTCATCAAGGACTAACGTTTTGTCGCCCTGGTGCGCCTTTTTCAGGATTCATGCGTCCGCCAGCTCCTTCCCATGCAAAAAGCAAAGCACTCTTTTCGAAACTAGGAAAAATACTGCCTTGACCACGTTACTGGAAAAATACTAAATTCTTCAGTCATCTCGATTTCTCCCGTTTGGGCGTCTTCAAGAGAAGAACAGACCTGGAGCGTTACCGCGGCAGCCCCGCGGTGCCTGCGTCGCAGTCCAACCGCTCTCATTCACCCAAGTCTTAATGGCACGCTATTTGCTATTACATGACGCGTTTCAGTGATGCATATCCTCCAGCCGGCCAAGTTCCATTTCTGCGCTTTGTATATTGCAAGGTGTATTCAATATGCAGAATCGCTGACGTATCGGTGCGTGCAAGAGAGGAAGTGGGTAGCAGAGAAGCCAAAGTGCTCCTTCAATTTGATATCGGAGTATGCAAATTTGCGAGTGTGGCAGATTTTCACTTACACGTTGGCCTGTGCAACGTCAGCAGAGAGAACCGCCGTCATTGTCTTCGAATGGGTCGCTTTCAGCCGGTCGTGTTTTATTGCTTTCGGTCATCAGTGCCAGGAACCGGATTAAATTCCCCAGAATCACTGGTCTGTCCTAGCGTTCGGATTCGTAGGACTCCTCGGATGCTGCTACTGCTGCTGCTGCTGCTACTGATACTGCTGCTGCTGTTGTTGTTGGTGGTGGTGATGGTGCTGCAATGCATAAATATGAGCAGAATCTTGTCAGCTTGAGCCGTAAACGTTCCATTCACAGCTTTTCATCCCAGAGGTTGCAGCTGTAGGGTCGGTAAAGCTAGGAGGGTGACTTTGGGCCCTGACCTGTAACAAGGCCATGGATCCGCGATGTAGGATTTCCACTGCCCAGTAACTACAAGGAAGCGAGACTTCCAGCCTTCCCCCTCCCCTCCCGTTCCCTCCTCACGCTTTACTCACCACAGGCTATGACGTCTCGCAAACACCACAGGTCTTAATCTTGGCTGCGGCAGAGAAAGAGAGCACCGACACGTGTGCGTCTCCTTTGTCCAACCCTCTGCCTCTCTTACGCATACAGTATCCTTCCACGTGTACTCACGCACGGCGTCACTGATTTTCGTAATTATTGATTTTCTGCAGGCCGATGGTACGGTCGTTTTGTAGCCAGTCTTGGGTTGGTCTGGTGACGTGGAGGTTGTTGCGCGTTCCCTTCCTACGTTCCGTTCACGTCATTTTTACTTGATTCAAATTTGCAGGTAATTTCGCGGCAAGCCGAGGGAAGCTCGCTTGCCGACCCGGCGGACGAGTGCCGGTGTCCAGCTGCACTTTCCAGCAGCTGGGTTAAGGCGATTGATAATCGCCTGGCTGATTTTCAGCGCGACATCGCCAGCTTCTCGTCAAGGGTGAGATTGCACATTTCCTAGACCACAAAACAAATATTTCCAAGTTTAAGTGAGCCCACCCAATCATCTCCCCTTCTGTACAATAAAGCGGTTTTTCACTACGTTTTTCCAGCGCAAATCAGTGTGCCGAAATTGCAAGTCCTGTTGATGCTTAGTATCACTGTACACCATTGCCAGTTGGCTATTCCTCGCTCTTCTTTAAGTTTTTCGTAGGCTTTTCCTCTCCTGAAGAATGCTTCCTGGTCACTTCCTTATCCTTCCACAGTTTAGGCTTTTTACCACTGTGGGTAAAGTTATACAGAATTTTTCTGCCACAGGCCTCATGTAGTATAACTTTTAAGTCTTGCTAGAATTGCTTACTGTATGTTTTTAATCTTAGCAAATAAGATCGTAATCGTGTTCAAGTATTTCATTGCAGCATGGGCTTTAGGGCCTAGAAGAATGGCCGTGAAGCGAGAAGGACGATGGATTGTGGCACTGGTGTCCTCTACAACGCGAGAGAAGGATATATAAGTGGTGAGCTTATCTCAGTTTTGTTAGAAAAAATGTCATTATCTCTTGAAAAGTTCATATAAAGAAATGAGTACAGCAGAGAGGAGTCGTTTTTATCTGTCGACCACAAAATACTCCAGATACTTTTTTCACGAGAGCCATTAAGCAGGACCCGAAACCATTGCAGGAATTGTTCACAGTCATTACAGAATCTATCAAAGGATCTTGTGACCAATGCAAAGTAAATTAGGCTCCAAATATGGCAGTGAAAGAAAACCAAGTGGGTGGAAAACACATTTTGTTCTCAGCTCGATGTGGAATTCGAGAAACGGCCCGTTGAGCTCACGGGCAGTTATACTTCCATAGTACAAACATCACAGATGAGTAATGGTGTACAGCCAAGTTCAGCGTGTATAAATGAAACACGGAATATCACAGTTATTGAGGCGGGAATTTACTGGTGACTCAAATATCCAAGGACCTCCACATGATAGATGCGAGTAAGACGCTGCAAGTCTTCACTGATGTACTGGACTCCGGTATGGCATGAGTGATGTTGAAGCGGGTTTACGCTAGAGGAATGGTCATATGGCAGATGTACAAGGTGGATTGTGCTCAACATCAGAATAGCACGCGGCTGTGGTGTAAAGATCCACTTAAATACTCGTAGAATTATGAAGATATGAGAAGCTCAAGTTGCCTGCTGTATCGGTGATTGATCGTAATTTAACTAAGGAAACAGAATATAATGCTTTTTAGTATTTTCTCGGCCTTTTTTAAATTAAATTGGAGGAATACTTCCTCCAGTTTTGGGGGCTTTTTGGCTGCGATAATATACTCATGTGACACAAAGTATATTCAGGAGAAAATTTCCTTCCACGCGCGATCGACATCGCGAAAATTAGAAATATGGTTGTTGCCAGGGCCAACGAAATCAGGACGTGGCACAAAATTGAATGGAAATATCGAGAACCGTTATTTCCAGTGAAGACAACGTTATGGTAAAATGAATATTTTCTCTAACAGACTACTTTAATTACTTTCTACGTTTTCAGCGTATTAGATCTTCCAGGCAGCCTAACTGGGTGTGCTTTTCATTGAAAACGTTTCTTATTAAAAAAAAAACAGGTGGTTTTAGCTGGTCAAGAATGGAAGGACTATTGGTGTAAATGGAGGTGCCGAAAATTGGTGGAGTCACTGCATGATAATTTACGAATCGAACTAAGCGTCCTGGTAATTGTTTTCGTCGCGAAATTCTAATAATTGGTTTTGAATTAATTTTAGGCACCAGAATAATGCGTGGAACTCAATGGAAATTAAGAATAAGAAAGATAATAAATTAAAATAAGATTTATTTAATAAGAGAAATAAAATTTCGCATGGAGAATTTTCCAGCTTGACAACTAGATAAGACAGAAAGCCTTGATTTAGGAAGAATATTTCTTGTCAATTTGGGATCCTGGCAATTTTTGTTTAACTTTTAAGTGAGCGTAGATTTCGCTCAACATTTCTCACTGAAAATTTTTAACCTGGGAAATAAATAAGACAGAAAGCTAATATTTTGCGAGGACATTTACAGCCTCTTGAAATTTTGTTTCGGCCCCCACTCCATTCGCTTGCAGCGAGCAGCGATGCGATCGACTTTTCCGCTGTCGCTACAACACAGCAAATACTATTGCGAGACTTTTTTCTGATTTTTACCAAATACACCAGGGATGCTTGAACAATTGACATGCTAGGCTTAGCTATGCCAAGGCTGCATCTCCTAAACTCTAACTCTGTTTCATAACCAACACGGAGCTTTTTAAACGTGTTAGCACCCTTCTTCTGTTTTGTACGACTTACAGCAGTAAATCTTTCAGGAAAGGCGCATCTATAAGCGCTGGACCAGAAGCCGGTGCCGCGATTTTCAGTAAAATTTGTGATAAATGTAATGAAACTGTTAAACTTTTGTTTTAGTGTTACTGTAAAATCTTTTTACCGTAATGGTGTTGTAAAATTTTTGTTTATTGTTATACACTAAAACTTTTATATTCATGTTAATAATACTATATAGCCTTTTTGCCATAACAGTGCTGTAAAATTTTCGTTTCTTGTAGGTTTGTATTTTTAATAACAGTGTTCAGTAACTTATTATGATTTTCTAACACTTTTGTTTTATCGTTGCCGTTGTAACAGTGTACTACTTCTCCTCTGTATTTTTTTTATTGTTTTCTAACCAATGTTTTTTATGTCTTATTGTTTTCGAACCAATAAAATAGTTTTGCTGTTTGCCGTTTTTCAAACAGTTGCCAAAAGTATCGTTTTGCCAAAAAACTTTTTGAGAGGTCTATCTCCAGAATTCATGCGGACTCTTTATGATATATAGCCAATCGCTTTATCACGTTGATTTTGAGAAGCGCAGAATCCATGGGCTGACGGGCGAAGACGCTTCATGAGATCACTGAGTCACTGTGACTTCCGAAGCTGATATGTAGAAGCATCTGGCTCGATTTTCTGCGCAAATTTTGTCCAAAAAAACCAACAAGGCTATCTTCCTAATAAAAGCGCCTATCGCATCGTGGAACTGAAGCGTCACAAAATTTAGCGCAACAGCACACTTGAGTTTCTGCGTAGTTGGCATATGACTTTCTTCTGTTTAGGACTATTATAATGCGGTTTGTTTCTGCACTTTTATTGATGGATAGTTATTTGTTATTCTGAGACTGCGATATAATATGCACAGCGCATTCATGTCTTTTGATTTGCTGCTGCTGCTTATCTCATGGCTGTTTCACAGTCAATGCATTTTACATTAACTGAATTCAGTAGAATGTATTACAAAACACACACACACACAATCCCACAAAGCATCAGTAAAAACATACAACAGGTATCATACGAAGACTGAACAACCGGCACTATGATATGAGCAAGTTCCAGTCAGTCATGCTTGCGCTGTCCATAAAATCAATAGCTGTCTGCGTCAGAACATCATTACCGGTGAATGCGGGGGTCTGGGTTTCAATATGACGCCAAATGTCTTCAAATTCGAAATCGTCATGCGTTTTAGCGTTCTGCTGCTGCTGCTGCTGCTGCATGACAGAGATTGAATCCACATCTTCCGGAGAAATTTGTGTGCCGAACTCAACCCCACTTGCAATGCGCGTTTGGCAATGAAAATCGTTCTGCTCATGAAATATCTGGAACAGAAAAATGATGTCATCGACATACTGTAAATGGCATTTCCGAAAACGACAATGTGTACGACGTACAGGTGGAAAAAATTCAGGAATACTGCGCTGAACCGTTTGTGAGCTAGCATGACAGCAAGCTGCTACTGGACCGTCTGACGTCTGAGTGGCCTTCTCAGCTGATGGCATGCGAGAGCTGCAAATAAGCAGTGAATAAACAGAGAAGTAAACGACTTTTCCTTATTGGAGAAAATAAATGACTTTCGTTATCAGAGAAATAAGTAGCTTTTTGTGATGCACTTTCATCCAAAAATGTAAAATTCGCCCACAGCATCACAAAAACAAGATTAGCTCCAACCTACTTATGAAACTTTGGCCGAATGTCTTTGAAAGATGAGTGCTTCTGCAGAGGAGCATTCAGAGTAATAATAAAAATGTTCGTAGCGGCTTGTCCCTTCCTGGAAGCAAATGTTATTTTACATTTATGACATACATGCGGCGGAATTAATAAGAATTCAGAGACGAACGGGGCTATTCGTGGTGCATTTAGACTTTCGCTGCATTGCACAGATGACGACTTTTTCGAAGATTTTCGCTTCCTTGAAAACGTTTTCGACTCAGCAGATGCCGGAGTAGAAGTTGTGGCACCACAACCTATAAAACAAAAGTATATAAAGCGTCACGAAATCTACCTGTTGGCGAAAACGGAATTTTGGGAAGATCTTCTCTGCCCATGTGGAATCTAAAAACCTCAATCCAGTTTCCAAATACGCTTGGTCCTCACGTACGGACAAGTGAAGGCCTCTGTGAGAAAATTACTAATTCGGGAGCCAAAAAGGATAAGAAGCTCAAATTTTAGTAGGATGTTCACTGCCGATGTACAATCCAAAAACTTGAAGTCCAATTTTGGAGTACGCCTATGCCTCACGTACAGAAGCGCTAAAATTCTGGCGGGAAACTTTCCAACTTGGATTTTGTTATCCTTTTCTAACGACACCCCGCTCACTGTAAACTTTGCATTTTCCATGAACAACCAAACATCAGTAAATAATAATTCCTCTTTGTGCAAAATTTACGGTAATCATGCATGCTGGAGGTTAAGAATTCATGCGGCCCTGTGATGCAACGGTACCATACCAGCCCCTTTTCTCTTACATAGATGAAAAGATTTGCAAAAACACTGACAACATAAATGCACGTGTTAAATTGTAAAGCAATAAGAATTTATACTTTTAACAATTTGCATGCTTCAAGATTCACGCAAAAACTCGTGTTCGCACCTGGGGCCTCGTCACCTGGGTATTCTACTCATTCCATGCTGTTCTTCATGATGCATCCCGTACGGCTTAACTAATTATATCTACACATGGGCGATAACTTTTATGGCGCTATAGCGACTGGTCAGTAGGGGTCCGTGTGATGGTAAACAAATGAAAAGCCAATAATATTTCCAGGCCGATGAGTGTAACTACTGAAATCGTACATCTTTTTCGCTGGTGATAAATGAGATCACGTCGCAGACTGAACCTAGCAGTTTTGCACTGATCGCATCTGAAAAAAAAAAAAAAAGAGGTGTCAAGCTAAAAGCATTTCTAGAGAGAGGGCGAAGAAGAAATGAGCAATTCCACACCTGAATTGTTTTTCACAGTGAACTTTGAGGAAATGCTGGCGAAGAAGTTTGTAAGCTCGGAAATAACGACCACTGCTGTACCGGCAGTCGCTGGCTGGACAAAAGTAACGCCGTTCGGCTCCTGCAACAATGCTATGGTTCATTTTCCGGAAAGGGCTAATTCAGCATTGCTTTGACATTTTCCATGCGACAACGACAGAAAAAGTCAAAAGCAGGAACCTGCGGAAAGCGGTGTGCAGTTGAATAGCGCCAAGTCACGCTCGTCACCGATAATAGCATGCTTTTTGATCCGATGAAACCGATATGCATTGCCATTCGCAAATGTTCGTGAGCATATTTCGCAGAATGAAGCACCGGCGCCCTTCTTCAGCTCATTTTCTGTCAGTCGAATGGCCGTAAATTTTCCGGCACTCTCCTGCTCAACGCTCATTGCCGTGAATCAAGCCAAATTTCAGCTGTCCCCGACGGCGGCGTTTGTCGTATGAATTCCCTCGCCGTCTAATATCAGAAAAATTCCGCTTGTAACAAAATTTCCGGTACAATTTTTTGTGATGCGAGGCGCACTGCAGAAATTCACAGCTGCGCACAAAAACAGCAAAAAACAGCAACCCGCTTGCCAAGCAAGCCTCGAAAGAGAGAAGACATCGCCAGCATGCATGCTACTACCACTTGGCCTATTTGCCAAACGCTTTCGCTTCGCAGCGATGGTGAATACGAATGGGTTAAGATTTTTGACTGAACTGATCAAGCGGGGAATAAAAAAGATTTGTAGCGAGTCAATGAGAACAAAACACACACACATCCAAGGATTCCCGGCTTAACGGTGCGGCAAGTTCCTTCCGGCCGGGGAAGCCGCAACGAGCGGTCCACGACGGGCGTCCGTTCGATGCACCAGCTGCTCCTGCTGTTTCGTCCACTGAGCAAAAGCAACCGCTAAAGAATCCCTCCCCACTCCCGAGAAGAGCAAACCTCGCCACCTCGAAACAGAACATGACACACATCAACCCCGTCGTCCGAGCCT